ACAGTGCATGCGACCAAGAAGTACTTTGTGTCCGCATCAGCAGACAAGACGTGGGCCTTCTTCGACCTCACCACTGGCGCCTGCCTCACGCAAGTACGTGTCTCCATGCTGTCCCAGTCCGTCCCACCCACAACCCACCCACATCCCACCCACATCCCATTCACAACCCACCCACAGCACATTCACAACCCACCCGTCGCCCTAACCCCGTGTTCCCCTTCATTTCGTGCCTCTCCCAACCCAAGTACCTGCCTCTTCCCCTTCCTCACTCAAGTACCTGCACCCTCCGCCCACCCACCGCCCTCCCCCCCCTTTCCCCACCCCTCCCCCGCACAGATGGCGGACGAGTCACTGGCGGAGGGAGGGGCACACGTCCGCATCCTTGGCCCCTTGCCTTGCCCGTGTCCCACCCTCTTCCCACCATCCCGCCCTCGTCTTCTCCTCTACCCCCCCATCCCCCCGCGCAGGTGGCGGACGAGTCCCTGGCGGAGGGGCACACGTCCGCGTCCTTGGCCCCTTGCCTTGTCCGTGTCTCACCCTCTTCCCACCCTCCTCGCACCGACCCTCGTCCCCCCTTGCTCCTCTTGGTCTCACGCAGGTGGCGGACGAGTCACTGGCGGAGGGAGGGGTACACGTCCGCGTCGTCCTTCCACCTGAACATGCTCCTCGTCCCGCCCGTGTCTCACCCTTTTCCCTCTCTCTTCCCACCCTCGTTTTCTCCCCTTCCCTCCCCCTGCGCAGGTGGCGGACGAGTCACTGGCGGAGGGGTACACGTCCGCGTCCTTCCACCCGGACGGGCTCATTCTCGGGACCGGCACTGCCGAGTCCCTCGTGCGCATCTGGGACGTCAAAACACAGGTGCGCTTGGGGGGCGGGGGTGGGGGGGAAGGCGGGGGTGGGAGGATAGGGAGAGAAGAGGAGGAGGGGGGGAGGAGTTGATGGGGGAAAGGGGGTGGGTGATATCGGGGGAGGTGGCAGGCAGGGGCGAGTTTGCAGGAGGAGTAGCATGCTTGTGCTGTGACAGTTCTACGACCTTCATGCTTCGTCTCGTTTGCTCTCTCTGCGTGTCTCCTTGAGCGTGCTTGTGCGTTCTGGTGACCTGTGTCTGCATGTCTGTGTGCATCTCTGTATAGCTCTCTCCCTCACTCTCCTCTCTCCCTCACTCTCCTCTCTCCCTCACTCTCCTCTCTCCCTCACTCTCCTCTCTCCCTCTCTCTCCTCTCTCCCTCACTCTCCTCTCTCCCTCACTCTCCTCTCTCCCTCTCTCTCCTCTCTCTGGCTCCCCCTCTCCCTCTCCCTCTCCCTCTCCCTCCCCCCCTCTCCTCCCCCTCTCCCCACTTCCCTCTGGCCATCAGGCCAATGTGGCCAAGTTCGAGGGTCATTCAGGGCCCATCACTGCCATCAGCTTCTCAGAAAACGGATACTTCCTGGCTGTAAGCCATGCCTCTCACTCACCCCCACCCCCATCTCTTGCGCACACCTGAAGTACTGAAAAATAAATAGGCTGAACTTCATGTAGGTAGAGCTGTTGTTATAGAATAGTCCATCATAATCTTGGAGTTGCATCTCTATTTCGCCCACTTGTCCTCCGCTTAGCGTCTCCTCCCCTTGTCCTTAGCTGCTGTTCGCCAGATTGTCTCTTTCTGCTCGGCCCTTGTACGTCCTCCTTGTCCCTATACGCGCCACACCACTCACATGCTTCCTCCCTCCGTCCTCCCACGTCTCCCTCCTCCCACGCTTGTTCCCACTCCCCCCCCTTCAACCCATCCCACATCCCCCATCCCCAGACGGCGGCGTCAGACGGGGTGAAGCTGTGGGATCTGCGCAAGCTCAAGAACTTCCGCACCTTCGCTCCCTTCGAGGCCACCACGCCCACCAACAGCGGTATGACCACTGCGCACCGTGCCTGGGTGAGTGGGTGGTTGGTGCTGGTGCTGCTGCTGCTGCTATTGCTGCTGTGGTGCTAGTGCTACTGTTCTGCTTCTATTCCCCCCCTCTCACCATCCGTCCCCTTTCCCCGCAGTCCAGTCGTGAGGCGTCTCAGAGCTTCTCTCTCTCTCTTCCTCTCCCTCTTCTCCCTCCCCTTTGCCCGCGCTTTCCTCTCCCCTTTCTCTCCCGCCCCGCAGTCCGGTTTGACTTCAGTGGGTCCTACCTTGCGATGGCGGGATCAGATGTCCGGTAAGCCACACCACAGTGTGCCGCATGTCCGCGTGAAATGAGCTGTGTTTTGAGTCGACTCAAAACACGACCTTGCGATGGCAGGATCAGATGTCCGGTAAGCCACACCACAGTGTGTCGCATGTCATTTTCATTCTAGTCGTGGTGCTCGCGTATCTTCTCTCACACTCTCTCTCACTCGCGCTCTCTCAATCTTTCTGACTTGCTGCTCGTTTACCAGCCCCTTCTCACCCGCCCCTCTCCCTCTCCCCGCCCCCTCCCTCTCACCACCCTCCCACCCCTCCCCTCTCACCATCCCACACCCAACTCTCTCTCGCTCACTATTCCCCCTCCCATCCCCCTCTCTCCCCCCACTGCCCCCTCTCCAACCATCCGCTCACCCGTGCCCTGCGCTACCACAGGGTGATTCAAGTGGGCACGGTGAAGCAGGAGTGGAACTCCATCAAGACCATCCCCGACCTCTCAGGCACAGGTCAGTGCTCGCCCATCCCCCCTCCCCTCCTCCTCCCCTCTTCCTCCCCTCCTCCTCCCTCCTCCTGTCCTCCTCCTCCCCTCCTCCTCCCCGCTTCCTCCCCTCCTCCTCTCCTCCTCCTCCCCTCCTCCTCTCCTCCTCCTCCCCTCCTCCTCTCCTCCTCCTCCCCTCCTCCTCTCCTCCTCCTCCCCTCCTCCACCATCACCTCCCATTTTCGTGACTTGGGAGTCAACTGGACACAAGTCAGTGCTCGCCCAACTTCTTTCCCTTGCGCTCCCTCCTCCTCACCCCTTTCCGATCCTCCCCTCATCCTCTCTCTAATCACCCTCATCTCATTGCTGTCCCATCCATCAGGCTCCTCTCCTCTCTCTCTCTCCCTCCCCTCCCCCCATCCCCTTTTTCGTCACACCCTTCGCCCAAGTCCTCTGCTGCCCTGCTGCTGCTGCCCACGGCATTCCCCACGTCCATCCCCATTCCCATCCCCATACCATTGCCCATTGGTACACGTGCGGCATGATGCCTTTTGACGCGCCTCAAAAGTAGATTCCCCACGTCCATCCCCATACCATTGCCCATTGGTACGGTACACGTGCGGCATGAATGATGCATGTGCGGAGCGGAGTCACTTTAGAGAATTCCCAAAAATGACTCCCAAAATTCCAGATGCCTCATACGTTGCCTTGGTGGCTGCGAACAGCAACCTGCACTTGTTTTTGCCCTCCTTCTTGTCTCGCTCCCCCTTCAGCAACCCCACCTCACCTCCTCCTCCCCCTCCCCCCCCCCCCCCCCCCCTACTGTCCGCCCTCTCCCCTTCTGACTTTGTTCCCACCTGTCCTGCCCACCTCCTCTCGTCCCCACCCATTCTTTCCCCCTCCTCCCCCCCACCTTCCCCTCCCGCCCCCCTCCAGGCAAGGTGACGTGTGCGGAGTTTGGTGCAGATGCCTCATACGTGGCTGTGGCAGCCATGGACCACAGCCTGCGCATCTTCGTCCTCCCCTCGCCTCCTTCCCTGCTGGCTCAGTCCCCTCTCCTCCCCCCACCCCTCCTCCCGTGTCCTTGTTCCCACCCGTCCTCCCCACTCTCCTCCTCTCCTCCCCACCCTTTCTCCCTCTCCCGCCCAACACAGGCAAGGTGACGTGTGCGGAGTTTGGTCCCGATGGCTCATATGTGGCAGTGGCTGCCATGGACCGCAACCTGCGCATCTTTGGCCTCCCCTCCCCTCTTTCCCTGCTGTCTCGATCCCCTCTCCGCAACCCCACCTTTCCTCCTCTCCTCCTCCCTTTTTTTCTGCCGCCTCCTCTTCTGACCTTGTTCCCACCTTTCCTGCCCACCTCTCCTCCCCTCCCCACCCATTCTCCCCCCTTCCCCCCCTTCTCCCCCGCACCTTCCCTGCCCAACCCCCCCAGGCAAGGTGACGTGTGCGGAGTTTGGCCCCGATGCCTCATACGTGGCCGTGGCTGCCATGGACCGCAACCTGCGCATCTTTGGCCTCCCCTCCTCGCAACCCGCTGCTGATGCTGACGCTGCTGCTGAGGAGAGCTGAGGCGGAGTGGAGTAGGGTGGAGACGGGTGGAGAGGTGTGGAGAGTTATCATGTGCCGTTCTAATGGTGGGAAGGAGGGGAGAAGCGTGGAGATCTGGGGCGTTGGTGCGATGAGGAAAGGAAGAGGGGGGGAGGGGGAGGGGGAGAGAGCGGGAGGGGGGGAGAGAGGAGAGGGAGTGTGGGAGTTGGGGGGAGGTTGGTCCATGCAAGAGTGGTTGCCATGTTGACCGGCCTGTTCCATCCCGTGTTCACATTGTCTGTCCGTGTTGCAATTTTTGGGGGGTGCTGTGCTGTGCGCCATATGTGCTGCAGCAGGCTCAGGGTGCTGCTGCTGTGGCATGGGGGAAGGTGAAACAAAAGGGCAATGCAGGGAGTTGGTTGGGAGGAACAGGGAGTATGGTGATGGGTTTGGCTGGCATGAAATGGCATGCATGGGTTGCTATGGCATAGGCTTGATTGGGTCGGCATGGCATGGCATGTCATTGCTGTGTCTCTTGGGTTTTCTTCTCATGCTGATGTATTGGATTAGAATTGTTCTTCACTAACGTTCTACCGTAGGAATAATGCAGTACTTTGTTTGTGGTGGACATTATAGTGATGTAACAAGAAACAGATAATCATGCATTGCAATATGACAGTCTATGCTGTAACACATCAGACTACTGTAGTACAGTAACACGAAAAAAGGATGCCCAGGCACACCAATTTCTATATGGCACATGAAAGAACATACTCAGCCATCCCATTTGCGTCTGTCTCATTCAGCTCATCCAAGAGAGGACTGGGAGGGAGGGACATAACGTGGTGGTCATCCCATTCGCCAGTGTCTGGCCCGTTGGTGTCTCTTGGTGGTTGGCGGGCGGTAGGGCAGAAAGCACAGCTGAGGACCGTTGCAGCAAACGCACACACACGCACACGCACCCACACGCACACGGAGGCACACACAAGCACACGGAGGCACACACAAGCACACACAAGCACACGGAGGCACAGGAGGAGAGCAGTGTGCCACGGGAAAGAGGGAGAGATGATGCACTCTCAGCTCAAGTGGGAAGGAAAGGCAGGGGAGAGGGGGGGGGAAACGGGGGAGAGAAAGAAATTACAAAAGCTCATCACATTGAAAGATAAAGAGGAGGGGTGAAAGAAGAAGAGAAGGAAAACACAGAGGTGGCCGCAAAACCTTTTTAGTTACCTATAGTGGGCGCGCGCACAGGCTTGAACGAACAGGGGGAATGAGAGCAAGAAACGTGGGTAACAGCCCACCTGGTCTCCGTTGGTGAGGCCAAGGTCGAGCAGAGGGGTGGTGGGTGGGAGAGTGGCTTTTGGAACCACCCTAGTGAGAAAGTTACATGGGTGGCAGCACAGCAGCAGACCTGATCTCCGTTGGTGAGGCCGAGGTCGAGCAGAGGGGTGGTGGGAGAGTGGAAGGGGAGAGGATGGGCGTCCACTGCCAGGCATGCATGCGACCAGATGTAGCGCCTGGGGGGGGGGCGTGGAGGAGTGATGATGGGGAGATGAGTAGACAGGCAGGGAGGATGGGGAAACGGCCGAAAGGATAGCCAGACACATAGACACACGCACGCGCACACACGCACGCACATGCACACGCACGGACACGCACACACGCACATGCACACGCACGCACGCGCACGCACGGGAACGCACGCGAATGCACACACGCACCCCCTCCCACCCTACCTTCCCCCCCCCTCGCCCCTTCTCTCTCCCTCTCCCCACACACATGTACGCATGCATGCATGCACCTCATGCACCTCATGCACCTCATGCACCTCATGCACCTCATGCACCTCACCATGAGATGCCTCGGCTGTGTGACGGCAATGCATAAACATGTCCATCTCTTGACTGCCCTCCATCCTCCTCCCCCTCCTGCACTTTTTCCTCCTCGTCATTCTCCTCCTCCACTTCACCCTCTTCCTCCAAAACTACATTTTGTTTCCCTCCTCCCTCATCCGCTTGCCCTCCTCTCTCAACCTCCCCACCTTCTCCCCTCCTATTGTTACTCTCTACCTGCTCTTCCCCCTCCCTTCTCTCCCTTCCCTTGCTTCTCTCTCCTCTCTCCCTTCTCTCCTCCCTCTCCCTCCCCCCCTTGACCCCCCTGTCCTCTTTCTCACCTCTTTCCCCCCTCTCCCCCCTCTCCCCCCTCTCCCCCCTCTCCCCCCTCTCCCCCCTCTCCCCCCTCTCCCCCCTCTCCCCCCTCTCCCTCTCCCTCATCTCCCTCCTCGCCTTCTTCTCTCGCACCCCTCGCCTTCCCTCCTCACCACCTCTCATCACACCACCATCTTCCACACTCCTCACCCCCTCTCTCCCCTCCTCCCCAACACTCTCTCTCCCTCCCCACTCGCGCTTTCTCCTCTCCCTCAACTCTCCACCATCCTGCCCGCCCTCCCCTCGTTCCCTCCTCTCCATTCCCTCCCCTCCCTGCCCTCGCTCCCGCACGCCACCCCTCTCTCGCCAACTCTCCCCCCGAGCCCACCCTGCCTCCGCGCCCTCCCCCTGCGCCCATCTCCGCGCCTCCCTCTCAACCGCAGCCTTCAGGTCCCCCACTGTTGCTGACTGCCGCACCACCACTGCTGCAGGGAGACAGGAGGAAAAGTAGAGATGCTGATACAGGTAAAAAAGTACTCGGGAGAGCGTGCGACGAGTAAGTTGGTATTTGGGAGTTCTCAGAGTAGGAGTAGACAAAGTTGAGAGAGCAATCATGTCATGAGTCATGACAGTGTGGAGGTAACGGCATCTTCCAGCAAAGTGGGAGATATAAAGTGGAGGAAAGAGCATTAAGGACATAAAAGAGGGAGATAGATATTTCAATCAAGGCAGAGAGAGAAAAACAAAAAAAACTTTATCAAATGAAGAGAAGGAAGCAAAACCTCCTGTCTTCAGGTCCTACCTCTCCCCTCTTCCTTTTGTTTTCTTTCCCCTCACGCCACCCCCTCACGCCACCCCCTCACGCCACCCCCTCACGCCATCCCCTTCTCACCATACTCGCCGCCATCTAATCGCCTAACTCGCAGCCTCATCCCGCCGCCCGTTTCCGCCGCAATCAGCGTCTCGACTTCCTCCAGCGACACGTCAGCCGCCACGTCAGCGAGCAGCGGGTCTGCCAGTAGCGCCTGAAGCTCCTCCTGCGTTTCGACCCATTCGGCCGCGTCGCACGCAACGGTGGAACGGTCGCAGCGCCCTTGGCGCGGTCTCAGCATGCCGCGTTCTGCGGGTCCTGGCAAGATTATGTAGGATAAATGCGCGCCGCTGTACCTCCCGGAGCGCGATTACTTGGGAGTGGCTAGAACTTGCGTTGGTCGCTCGTTCCTAGCGTGTGGAAATGGGCACGCGGTGAACTTGTAACGCGGATGGAGGATGATTCGCTTGTGCGGAAGTTGCAAAACACTCATTAAAAAATGATTACAATCAAGTTAAATACCAGCAATATTTGATAGTGTAGTGTTTGCAACCATTCAGGATGATCAGGAATTCAGTAGAAGAGGTCAAACCAACAATTCGGCAATAAATTCATATACGGTAGCACAACCATGCTTGTGCATCAAGAATTATTGTATAGTGGTGGTAAAAGGCTATCAATTAGTGAACCTGGTGCCTCCCTGGGAACCAGGGTTTGAAAGTGGCAAGCTGGTCTGGTCTGTTTGATCACAAGTGAAAGGAAACGTAACTCCATACATCTTCAGCGTGGTGTAGAAAGAACACGCACACGGAATCAGCACAGGGAGCGACTGATATGATTTATAAAAGGGAATAAAGGCAACCTGGAAAAGAGAGAATGGACGAAGCGGACGTCGACGAGGGAACGAGTAGAGCTTCGGAGAGAGCACGAACACGTCCAACTCTCAGTACGTCTCCTCTTGATCCCGGTAGCCCCCGGCAGACCGGCCAGGCTCGATCTTCTCCTTCCCTTGTTCTTTCACAACACCTCCGAGACCCGACACCCGATGAAAGCGACCCCAAATCATTCAAATCCCACCACATCCCATCAGCTATTAAATACCGCGTCGCTTCAGAACCTGGCCACCTTATCGGCTTTCACGATCGGGTTCGCCTTCGCAATCGCCTCGCGGCCAGCCGTCTTGTAGTCAAACGAGCACGCGTGCTTGTCTGAGTACCTGTGAATCGCGCAAAACATGTCTCCGCACCGGCACTTGAAGCCCGTCAGCCCCACCCGCCGTTTGCACGACGTGCACCGAATGGCGCGACTGCCGCTGCTACTGCTGCCGCCAACGCAAGGGATCGCAGGCGCGGCGACGCCACTACGAGCCGCAGCAGCGGCGGCGACGGAAGGAGAAGCATGCGAAGCCCGAGTGTCGATACTCGAGAGCGCAGGGTGGGTTTGCCCGCGTAAGTCAATTTCCTCCTTCCTGGTCGCAAACGGATGTGCGGACGGCTCGACTGGCATGACGCGGGTTGTCCCAGGGAAACTCGCCCTCTGCACGTTCTCCGCGTCTCCGGAGCCCACGGGCGCGCCGATACCGCTTCCGCTTCCGGTACCGTTTCCGCCGCTGCTGCCGCTGGCACCGCTCGGGCACGGGTCCGTGCGAAGAGCTACTGGTGACTGCGTGCGGTGCGGACTGGCGGAGGGGTTGGAGCTAGAAGATGTCGCAGTTGCTGTTGTAGCGGTAGCAGCGGCGGCCTGCATGGTCTTGGCTACGTGCTCGCCGTAGCACTGCGAGCACATATTGAGCGTCGCGGCGCTTCCGAAGAAACCGCAGTTGTTGGCACAGAGAATGTTCCGGTCGGATTGCTTGCAGCCGGCCGAACCCTGCTCCCGTTCCCAGCTCTCTTGAGCCATCAAGCGAGCGGGTTAGTCTAGTGCTGCGCGACGCGAAACAGGCGTGAAAGTCGGGACGCGCTGAACGTGGGGGGCTTGATAAGACTTAGGTGTGGAGTCTGTGAATCGTGTGTGAGAACAAGGTTCGGAGGAAGAAAGGTGAGAGAAGCGTAGTGGCTGACGGAACGTACACTGATTGAGGTTGCCTTGAAGGACTGATTCTGGTGAGAAGGAAAATTTGGACCTGATTCTTTCGTGAACAGAAGATGGGGAAGATAAACAGGAAGAAAGAGTGGTGGTTGGTGGTGTGGCGGATTCTCATCAAAGCAGACGAGCTTGTCGAGTCGGGCGAGAGTGCATTCGCTGGAAGGGGCCTGAAGCTTGCACTGCACGGATTGGCGGGCAGCACTGCTGCTGCAGCAAAGCGGCAGACCACCACGTACACTGTAGTTAAAATGGGACGGGGCCGGGGCCCTGGGTTCGTGAATTGAACTACACTGTGTTGTTGCATTTGCTGCCCGACCAAACTCGAAGTTGACTGTCTACCATCAACGAACGAAGTAGGTGAACAACGGGAAACTTGCACTGCACTCTTGAACCCAGCGTGAAAATTTACCCCAGCGTTTTGGGACTATAATTTATTTTCCTGCGGGATGCTTCAGGGATTTCCCGTAGTGACCTTGCCAGCACCTTGGGTTTTTGGGGAACACTTTGTGGGAGTCCTAAATCTCATCCTTTCTACCTACCGTCCCAACCAGGCTGACCCCTTTCCCGTATGGGCGGAACCCTCCACACCTCCCACTAACCTAGCGAACCAATTACGTCTCTATTCCCAGTCTGCTTCCTTGTAGGTAATATGTTGATGTTTGTAAGAAGTGAGGGTTGCCTCGTAAGAGACTCTTTTGCGGAGTTTGGTCCAAACCAAATTTTAGGGTGTGATTTCCCAGATTCGGTGCGTGGATCGGCCAAAGCTGCAAGGCCAAATCAGCACGGAGCTTGTTCATATGTTGACAATACAGGACCTCACAGAACAGCAGAGGACTCTCACAGCGAAGCACCAACTGGGACAAGGTTTCTCCTTTCCCCAAAACCTCATCTGTGGCATGTGCGCTGACCCACATGCAAATGTAAACTGTGGCGGTGGTTGGTGGGTTGTTGCGGCCTACCAGCAGCTGCCATGCTGGCAGGTGTGGGCTGTCGGACGTGACCTGGAGTTTGCTCCTTGGCTGAAAGCCAGTGAGTGGGAGTGTTTTGTAATGAATACTCGATGACCATGGCACAGTGGGCATCGCTAACGCTATGTGCACATGATGTGGACTTTGCACACCACACATGGCAAAAGCCTGGCTGCATCGTGAACTTCTTGGGGCACGGGTTGTCACAAAGTGCAACCACGTGGATAACGACAACAACGACCACTGAACCGCGGATATCGGCATGTGATAAATTCTCATTTCTGAATCATGACATGATTCTGGTACGAATCGTACGTGCTCTCGAGGCAAAGAAATGCAGATATGTTTTGGATGTAAAACATCAAGTCGATACAGTGCCTAGTTCTCTATGCTTTTACAAGAGATACTCTGGAGTACAATTCAACTTAGGGTACAAGGGGCTCATGTACGTCCTAGCTACTTAAAATAACGAAGCTTATGTTGGGATAAAAAAAATGCTAATACAGCCCAATCGAAAAATGTTGACATATATGAGCTCTACTGTTACGAATAGTAAAAGATGAAGTGTTTATGTGCACTCCTGACAGTAGCAATCGAAGCATGCAGTATCGAGGTTGAAGATGAAAAGGCGGAATGACGCGAAGGGTCGTACGGTTACGAAGCATCTGGACCGTCAGGGCAGACATCATCAGGCAGCAGCAGTGGCGAGGATTCTGCCCGAGCAGTTCGTAAACGTCTGGAGTCGCACGGTTGGGTTTCGCTGCAATAAGAGAATGTATCCCTTAGAGTACATGGCTAGCTAGGTCGTTTCGTATTCCACCTTGTGTCAAGAAGTGAAGTGTGGATTGATTAGGGTTGTGAGTACAAGTAGGAAATCCTAAAGGGTTGTACTCACTAGAGTATGCCCCACTACAGCCTAGAGCATACAATAACAGTTTATCACACCCCCATATGCAAAGTGGGGGATAACAAACACAACGAACGGTCACAAGACCAGTCAAGCAAGAGAACAAAGCAAAGCAAAACTTAGGGTGGATCTCAAGGACACCACACACTCCGAGCACAAGCAAGCGGCCACGAGGCCAGTTCACATGCAGTTTAATAATAACACAAGACGTACAATGATTACAACCTAGCAACCAGAAACATGCAGGTTTATACATCAAAGTACATAGCAAGATCAAGAGACAAGCAAGTGAGGCAGAGTGGGCACAAGCCCAAGAGAAGTGCAGAAACGCTGATGATCACTAGACCCAAGGGCCTTGGTGAAGACATCAGCAGTGTTGGCCCGTGTGGCCACGTAAGCAAGACGAAGCTGACCACGATGTTGCAGCTCTCGCGTGAGGAAGTAACGGAGAGCAATGTGCTTCGTTCTGTGCTCCAGTCTCTGGTCCTGACACAAGGCAATCATGGCTTTGTTGTCGACGTACAGAACTGGAGGAGAACGAGGCCGCTCACCCAAGTCGGTCAGCAGGTAGGTCAGCAAGCGGAGCTCCTGTGCAGCCATAGCCCCAGCGTAGATCTCGGCCTCACAGCTGGAACTAAGTACAGCAGAAGAGCGAGTGGACTTCCACGAGACAGAACCAGTGCCGAGGCTGAAACTGTACCCCTGTGTCGACCGGTGAGTCGTCTGGTCGTCAGCCCAAGAAGCGTTTGAGTGACCGGCGAGAACAACTGAACCTTGTCCTCCAAGCACGAACCACATGCCCGATGTACTGCACAAGTAACGCAATACCCTCTTCGCAGCATCCCAGTGCACCTTTCGGTGTCTACCGGGAGCCACGTAGCGAGCCATGAGGCTGAGAGGGTACGCGAGGTCAGGTCGTGTGCACGTCATCAGGTACATGAGGCAACCCATAAGCTCTGGGTACGGACCACTCGGCTCTACGGACTCGTCCGAAGGTGGAGCTGAGAGCGAGTGGCAGGTAGACAGAGAAGTGGGCTGTGGCGAGGACCACGAGAAGTCGAAGCGCTGAAGGACCTGCTGCACCATGTGTGACTGAGTGAGGGTGATGGTGCGGCGTGCTCTGTCCCGGGTGATCTACAAGCCAAGATAGCTCCGCAGCTCACCCAGGTCAGTGCAGGCGTGTCTCTCCTGCACCTCCGCCTTCACTAAGGCCAGAGGCTCAGTGTCACCAGTAGCAAAAACCAAGTCGTCAACGTACACGAGAACGTAGAACGGCGGCAGAGAAGTGTCTGTGCGCAGAAACAGCGAAGGGTCAGCAATCGAGGGAGCGAAGCCAAGAGC